AAACAATAAAAAAAATAAAAACTCTTATAAACTAACAAACATACTCCTAATATTCCAACTTAAAATCTCGTAATCCCATTGAAAAAAATATATAGAGATGCTCCTCCTACAGTGCTACTGTGTGATTGAAGTCGTAGTAAAGCAAATGGTGACAAAAATAATGAATGCAAACGAGTCAAGCCAAAAAAATTGCAGGCAATCAGCTGTCACCGCTGTCATAATAAGCAATAACAATAACCATAGCAAAGAACAAGCAAAGAATTTTCCATTTCCGCCATCCACGAACGATCATGCCACGAAGTCAGTTGGCAGTTACACAGCTGGCATCTACGTGTCTTCCTACCCTCATATCCACTTTGTCCATGTCCCCATCCTTTCCTTCATCACCCATCCCACCTCAATCTCTCTCTCTCTCTCTCTACCTTGCCTCCCCTTCCTTTTCTCTTTTCAACCCTTCTTCTCCCCTCCTGGTGTTTAACGATGTGGATAAAGAATCTTGTGTTGGGCGAATTCATGTCTTACAATGGCGGTGCGTTTGATTGGTGGGATGAAATTGACGAATCCGAGAAATGGCAGCGGGGGATTTTCTATGTCTTGTGTACTTCCTACGCCGTGGTTTCCTTTGTTGCCTTGGTATGTATTTCGTTTTTCCTTTCTGGGTGTTTAATCTTCAGACAAAAGTTCCAATCTTGCTTGCTTGCTTGCAGATTATATATCTTTAACTACAGAAGGAATTTAACGGGAAATTTGATTAAAGTTGGTCGCTTTTTGGATTTCATTTATCTCTTGAGACACCCTTTGATCATAAATATCTATAGGATGATGGGTTTCGATTCTTTTGAATGTTTAGATTTAGGCTTGTTTGGTTGATGAATCTAATGTTGCCTGAACGATATGTTACATATTAATCAAGAAAAATTTTGTCTTTCTTCACTATCATATCAGTGTAATGAAGATACATTTCACTTGGTTGCATTTCTTGATCCATTTCATCAAACTACAACTTTTGATGCTATGTTTTCTTTAGATGTATCTTGGGGTTTGTCTTCAAAGAGCTGAAATTCAGCCACCAGGTGTGGGTTTTAAAGTTTTTCGTTGAAATGCTGAATTAAATAGATTGTTTGATTGATTTTGTCTTTTGAGATCAGATATATTTGTAAATGTTGCTTCAAGAATATTAAAGTAATGTCTGGGAAAAGGGTTGGACTACATTTATCCTTTTAGCCACAACAATTAAAGTCATTTTCTTTGGCCTTGCCCAAGAAGTAATTCCAAAAACCTTTTTCCTGGCAAATGCCTTTAAACCCAACTTTGGGTCAGCCTGAAGGTGTTGTACACTCTGAGTGGTTGAGCCTGGTTTGTGCACGTACTTTAAAGCCAAGTTTGTTTGGCAAACCACATGAAGTCACTTGAGTTACTTTGTTTTTTGATGTAATTGTAGAATCTAAATAACTTGGTAGGCATGTCTTGTTGGTTATACAAAAAGCTTCTTCCATGTCTTATAGCTTCGTTTTTGGTATTCTGGTGCTTCTATTTTTTTAATCTTAGTTAGTTTTACAGTTGGTGAAGAACCAAAATACTGTATGTTTCCACATCCCAACCTAAGCCATCTGTTGCTCGGCCATATGACCAATTGTTTGGTTATACAAAAAATATAGGTGTTGTACTTCCTTAATGCAAAGCAATCTCCGTTGAAATAGAAGACTCTTCTCCTTATTCCTTTAATCAAGATGTATTAAAACTACCAAATTTGCTTTGTTCAAATCAACTTCATTTGTTGAATTGATTGGCCAAAACAATAATCTGACTTCAATCAAAGCTTCAGAATTCTCCAAGTACATTAAGCTAGTTTTAAGGATTAGAACTCTACTACGTTGCTCTTTTTGCAGGCTGATACAATCTGGAGTCTATTCTTTGAAATTTTCTTAAGAACCATTTACTAGATTTAAACTTAGCATATCTCTTATAATTCTGAATGAAAACTCTTTAGTAACGCATCATTTATTTTTATGATTACTGAAATAGCCAAAACTGAAACAAAAAGAAAAAAGGTGAAAGCAAAAAGAACATGAATCTTTGAAAGTTGAGATAAATAAATTACCATATTGTTGAGATTTCCCTTGAACTTGAAGTAAGGTTTTTGTCTCTAGTTGTTTGTACATTCTCATCATAATTATAATTACCATTCTTCATATTAATGGCCTTTTTCTTTCAAAAATTTTAGGTACAACTTTTTTGTATCCAATTAAGAGTGCCGGACTATGGGTGGAGTACACAAAAAGTTTTCCACTTGATGAATTTTCTTGTAAATGGATGTAAGGGTTGTAGAATTGTAAATCATTTGCCATAATTCTGCCTCAAGCTGTAGTACATGACTACTAAGAACATTATTTGCACTTTAACAGTGAGGGCTGTTCTCTTTGCTTTCTACAAGAAGGTGTTTCTTATTAAGAGCAAGGTATTCTTTTCTTTATAAAGTTATGGTGCTGTATTGAGCTGACACATTATCCTTTTCCTAGCAAGAGATTGTTTATGCATATAAGCTTTTTGCCTTTGGACATTTCTGTTGTCAGAGAAACTTGTAAACAGGGATATCATCAAATTTTATCAACTTAATATTGAAAAGGAAATAGGTTTTTGGACATCAAACTAGGCAGCCAAATCAAGCATTTATGATAACAACTTCATAATTTTTTTTATTCAGATTCAAAAATAGAATACTGATAGAGGGAAACATGGGACAGAGTCATAATTTATTATTTCAACTTCCGGTTCCCACATTATTTATATATCCTGTATCTTTCAATTGAATGCATTCTTTTAAGTTGGAAGCAAACCTTTTTTCATTATTGCTGTCAGCTATGGTAGTAGTTGTACAATCATTAATTTCATCTGAGTTGCTATGCATATTATCTTATTTTTGTCAGCTGCACTGCCTTAAAATAACATCCTCGTGCAGGTGCTTGAAATGGTGCTTTTGGATCTTCCGAGTCTCCTATTTTTCTCAACATATACATTACTTGTCTTGTTCTGGGCTGAGATATATCACCAGGTATGCAAGAACTCTTTTACTAGGTTGCTTTTATTGGGAATTTCTGATATAATTGATATTAATGCATTTTTGTTGTTGTTGTTTTAGGCCAGAAGCCTTCCCGTTAATAAATTAAGGCCTGCATATTATATTGTCAATGGGTTGATATACTTCGTACAGGTAAAGTACACAAATTCAACCCCAAATCCATGAACTAAAGATTAAATGAAGTTTTTGTTGGTTGCAATTTTACCAACTGTTTCTCCATTGCATTTTAATTGCCTTATGCTGTTAGGTTTGCATATGGATTGCTGTAAAATTTACTCACGGTCATGTTGCAGTTGAGATTGCTAGACTTTTCATTTCAGGTAAATCTCTCCCTTTTTATTTGTATCAAGCTCAAATAAAACTTGATAGTTTACTAGGAGCCACGAACCACTTTCTTATATGAAAGTTTTGTTGCACTGATGAAGCTCAATTTATCTCTCTCTGCAGTTATTTCAATAATTGCTGCTGTGGGATTCATGATATATGGTGGCAGGTAATAGGCAACATGATTTAAAAAAGAAAAAGAAAAAATGAAATAAAACTCTAAGATAGTTTTCAGACTCCATTCTATGCACTATACCATATGTTTACCTTTCATTTGACAATATTGTTCAGGTTGTTCATCATGTTGAGGCGCTTCCCCATTGAATCTAGAGGTCGTCAAAAAAAGCTCTATGAGGTTTGTTCAGCAGTATTTTTAAGTTTGAAATCAGCAATTGAAAACATAGTGTACTTATTGGCATTGCCTTCAAATGCCCTGCAAAATTTTGTCAACATCATATGTGATTATTTCAGTGGATTTGCTGGATTCCACTGATTTGACGTGGAATTTAAACTATTCCCCTTCCACTAAATCTTGAGGACATGTTTCAAGTTATCATTCATTTTAGCAGTAGGTTTTGTAGCATGTGCTGGAATGGCACTCAAAAACAAAATAGCACAAGCAATGAGAGGAGAAGAGCTTGGCTTTAAGACTTCTTAATTTTTTGTGGCAGGTTGGCTCTGTAACTGGAATCTGCTGTACTTGTTTCTTGATAAGATGCATAGTGGTGCGTATCATTAACTTCTGTAGTTCATAAGTTATACCAAAATTAGCATCTCTAACATCAACAAAAATTATCTTTATTTTGGTTTGTGTTTCAGGTCACAGTCTCAGCCTTCAACAAGCATGCAGATCTAGATGTGTTAGACCACCCCCTTCTAAATTTTCTCTACTACATGGTAAAAATTTTGAGCTCCTGAATTTTTTTTTGGTACACATTTGATGATGCCCCTGTTTGCATTGGTTGATAGTCCTTAGTGCTGTTCATTGTTCTAACATCACTTGCTTAATCATTTTTGTTTTTCTGGTCTAACAGTTGGTAGAAATCATTCCATCTGCTCTGGTGCTCTTCATCCTCCGAAAACTGCCTCCCCGGCGGGTTTCCGATCAGTACCACCCTATCAATTGAAGTGAATGATCTGGCAAAATTAACAAGGTGCTTGATCCACTGTCAAGTTTTTTTCTTGCTGTCAGGGGAGTGGACTACCTTTCTCCCTCTCATTCCCTTCTTGTATATGATATATTATTTCCTGTTCAATGGTAATTGGTTTCTTCAACATTTGGCTGCTGTAACTTCAGAGAGAGTTAGGAAAACTAATTGTAGATGGTGACATACATCATGTGTCTGCTATTTGGCCCAGATTCTGAAAAGAATAAAAAATATATATATTCCACTTGCAAAAGTTGAAAATTAGATCAAATTCACATTTCTTAAAACTTCTTTTAATTTTTTTAATAATTAAAAGATAACAATCTTTTAAGGATGCTTAAGTAATTAAAATTTTGAGTCTATTACTAGAGATTTTAAATTCAAATATTAAGATGGTGAAAAATGATTAAAAAAAATTATCTTTTGTTGTATAGTCAATTATTTGACATAAAAAAAAAATTAATTAAAAGATAACACTTTGACTAAAGTTAAATCAAGATCACCAACCTCACAAGAATTTAAATGTTTAATTCAATAAAACTGGGAAAGAGAAAAAAAGGCCCTTAATCATTTGGGGTATATATATATATATTCTAACCTTGTGTCCTTAGCCTCTTTAATTATGATATTTATAATTAATTTTATATAATTTTTATATTAAATATATTTTTTTAATATAAATATTTTATTTTATTTTAATTTTTATTTAATATTTCATTTTAATTCAATCTATTATAAAAATTTATTAAAAAAAATTATTACAAATAACACAATTAATGAAACTTTACGTATAATTTTAGAACACAGTTTAAAAAATTCAAATCATTTTTAGATGATCCCTAAATAGCAGGTAAGTACTCATCGGAATTTTCTACCAAAAAATAAAAGTACTAATCGGAATTGACAGTATGTTCTGAGTGGCTTTAGACTGAGGTTTGTTGTCACCGTACCTTAGATTCCAAATCTTATGAAGCCATATGAATTAATGCACCTTTAATATGGATTTTGCATGGCAAAGCGAAGGCTGTACAAGACAAATCAGATGCAAATGTGACTACCC